GCGCTCTGGGTGCCTGTGCGCGATTGGATTCGGCCATGTTTTTCTATGCGGGTTTCAAAGCAAATCGTGCTGGGCGTAATTTCCGAATAGGGTTGTGCGCTCGCGTTCTTTCAGCCGTGGCGTGCGATTTGTCTTCCTGTGGTATTTATGTACGCGTAGGTTTTGGATTCAATTTTCTCTCTCCGTTGGCCTGGCTCGCCTTGTTATCGCAATTTCGCGATGTTGACCCCCCCCGTGCTGCGCCGTCAGATGGGGCGACCTCGCGCGCCCATGGGCTTAATCCGACCCACCGCCCACTCATGTCGCGCCCAACAGCGGAAAACCAGCCTGGGCCAGCATTGCCAGGCGCCACATACATTGCACCACATAGTTTGCACCACATAAAATCCAGCGCATCTGTTGCCTCACGTAGATTGCACTACGTAGCTTGCACCAGCCGGTACGCTTGAAGGCACTGTGCGGGGTCCATGCTGGCCAACATGCTTCGGGGGTACCCCCTATTCCTGCCCATCGTCCTGTTCCCCTGCTCCTCTTTGTCCTCCACCATTTCCGCCTTTTCCAATCCAGGCAACTGTTCTCCTCATCCTCTGTTCAGTCTCCCTCCTCCGCCCTTCCCTCCTCCTTCTCCCACCCCTTTGTCCTCCTCCTCCTCCCCCCCCTTCCCCTCCTCTTCCTTCTCCTCCTCTTCCCCCTCCTCTTCCCTCTGTGATCCCGTTCAGTTGCGGGGCGAAGCCCTTGTCAGCCTTAATTGATAATCCGTTGGAGTGACGGAGCGCGCCCCCTGGCGCCCGCCCCCGCGCAGCGAAACGGCGCGACGCGCGGAATGGATGCCGGCATGAATGCGGGCATGAATCTGGTGTGAATTCGGCGCGTAAGTGGCATGACACATATGCAGAACCAAAATCCATTTTAAATAGTGCATGGCAAATTTGCGCCGCATTTTTGTCACGCGCGTGATCTCGTGGTCGTCACGCCACCCTGGGCGCCTTCTGGCAACTTTTTCATGCCTCTCCGCGACATCTCTCTCCAGTTCACAGGCGGACGCGAGGCGAACGGTCTCCACTCTCGCCACCCCTTGGCCTTTGGGCACGGTTGGCCAAATCAGCGGCACATCGTTGAACATCAGGCGTGTCGATGTAAGACTGTCAGTCCCCGGGGGCTAGGGCGTACCCCTCACCCCCGCGACGCGCCTCCACGTCGCAAAAAAACTGGTACCGATCGATGGCACCACGCGCGGGCCAACGCGGAAACGTGGCCTTCAGTGTCCGCCGCTGCGTCCTAGGCGCTGGCGCCGTGTCCCCAGGCGTCTGGGACGCATGCGAGCTGCTCCAAAGGGACCTTCGGTTGAGTTCGTTTTGGTGCTACGACGCGTATGAGGGGCGCGCCGAAATCGGCGGGGGGAACCCATTTGGAACAGTGGCAGCGGAACTTTTGGTAGAATTCCTTTCGGGGCCTTTCGCGCCAAAATTGTGGGATGGCCCAGGAAGCCTCAGAGGACCTATGAGCGGTCAGTTCGGCGGACCCCGCGTGGGCCGGGCAGGGGCGGGCGCATCTTCTCCGATGGGGTGCTAAACAAGTCTTCGAGTGCATCGAGCTGAGCCGCGGGACACCGTGGGTCCCGTGAGGCGCAGTGGGACTTGGGGCATGGTTTCGCCTAGGTGTGCTCATCGTTTCAGGTCGGTCAAACAATGCATCCCTGGAGGTAGCATTCCAAGTTGCCTGGTTGTGCTTGTCTTGTGCCCATGGCGCTGCTTTAGTGATCTGGGTGATGCTTGCATCCCGTAGCCGTTATATTGCGAGGGCTTTACGGCCGTTGCCGCCGACCCTGAGAGCGACGAAGATGAAAACGAGGTGGGGCAGGGTGGAGGAGGTGGTTAAGAGAGGAGGAGGGGGGAGAAAGATGTGGAGGAGAAGCAAAAGGAGGAGGAGGAGGCTGAGGAGAGAAAGGGGAGGGGGAGTAGAGGGGGGGGGAGGAGGAGGAGGAGGAGGAGGAGGAGGAGGAGGAGGAGGAGGAGGAGGAGGAGGAGGAGGAGGAGGAGGAGGAGGAGGAGGAGGAGGAGGAGGAGGAGGAGGAGGAGGAGTGGGAGGAGGAGGAGGAGGAGGAGGAGGAGGAGGAGGAGGAGGAGGAGGAGGACGAGGACGAGGAAGAGGAGGAGGAGGAGGACGAGGACGAGGAAGAGGAGGAGGCCAGAGGCTTTCTTGGGACAGCCTGTGGCTCTCCTGAGGCCGTCTTGGGCCGTCGAGGGCTCCTCTTGCGCCGTCTCGAGGCACTCTTGGAGGCCTCCTGGGCAATTTGGGGCTCTCTTGGGCTGTCTTGGGGCAGTTTGGGGGCCACTTGGGAGCCTCTTGGGGCCTCTTGGGGCTTCTTCGGGGCCTCTAGGGGGCCTCTTAGGGCTGAGAGCTCGAAATGTCCGTTCGGGTCTCCCGTCAGGGCACTCTCCTGGAGCCGTCTTGGGGGCCTCTTGGGCCGTCTTGGAGGCGTCTTGGGCCGTCTTGGAGCCCTCTTCGGCCGTTAAGGGATCCTTTTGGGGGCCTCTTGGGCCGTCTCGGGGCGATCTTGGGGGCCTCTTGGGCCGTCTTGGCGCGTCGGGGAGCGGAAGAGGCAAGAACGCCCACATCTGGCAAACACGTATTGGAAATCCATGAATTTTGTCTCTGGGGGCTCTCGTGAGAAAGCTCCTGGAGGCCTCGGGCCGTCTGGAGGCCGTCAAGGCGTCTTGGACAGATCGTTCGGCGATTCGGGGTTCTCTTGGACTGTCTTTGGGGCCTCTTGGGGCACTCTTGGCCCGTCTTGGTGCTTTTTTGGGACCCCCCCCCCTCCCCGGCGGGGGAGGGATCGAAGGGAAGGGGCTTCCCTTCGACTCAACGACGTTTCATATTTTCGCTTTGGCTGGCGCGCTGAGGAGGTCCCTGGGGAAGGGGTGAGCTTCGACGAGCCCAGGGAAAGAGGGGAGGAAGGGAAAGGGGACGACAGAGACGACGACCAACGAATGACGGAGATGACGACTTGAACGGACAAGCCCCTCACACACGCCGACAGGGTCGGCGGATTTTCCATGGCTGGCGTGTGGACCGCAACAGCTCCTACTCGACATAGCCGCCTGGCCAGCCAACATTATTTGAAGTGGCTTCGTGCATCGTTTTTTTCTTCATGCGCCTCTTCTGCGGCTCCGTGGGGGCCGACATATAGAGCTAGAAGGCTATAGGGCTATAGGGCTATAAGGCTACAGGTCTGTAGGGCTATTAGGGCTATAGGGGCAATTCGGCTATAAGGCTATAGGGCTATAGGGCTATAGGGCTATAGGGCTATAGGGCTATAAGGCTGTAGGGCTGCAGGGCTGTTGGGCTATAGGGCTATAGCGCTATTAAGGCTACAGGGCTATAGGGCCATAAGGCTCTGGGGCTATAGGGATATTGCCCAATCAGAGCTTGCCTCTGTAGGAGTCCTAGCGGATTCATATGGTTAGGTTAGGTTTGCCGCCGATTTTCGCTGCACGCCCGGGTGCCGGGGTGCCGGGGTGCCCGGGGGGTGCCCGGGTGCCCGGGTGCAAGGGTGCCCAGGCGTGCCTGGGGGTGCCCGGGTGCCCGCCCGGTAGCCCTATAGCCTTATAGCCCTGTAGACCTACAGCCCTATAACCCCAAAAGCTTTATAACCCTATAACCCTAATAGCTCCATAGCTTTATACCCTTATAACCCTATAGCCATATAGCCCTATAGCCCTATAGCCCTATAGCCCTCTAGCCCTCTAGCCCTCTAGCCCTCTAGCTCTCTAGCCCTCTAGCCCTATAGCCCTATAGCCTTATAGCCCTATGGCCCTATAGACCTTTAGCCCCATAGCCCTATATCCCCAAACAGATTATGATTTGGGTTGTTCACCGGTATCATTAGGGCTATAGGGCTGTAGGGCTACAGGGCTACAGGGCTATAGGGCTATAGGCTAGTAGGGCTATAAGGCTATAGGGCTATAGGGCTATAGGGCTGCCGGGTACCCGGGTACCTGGGCACCTGGGCACCTGGGCACCCGGGCGCCCGGGCACCTGGGCACCAGGGCGCCCGGGCACCCGAGCACCCGGGCACCCGAGAACCCGGGCGTACCGCCGAAATCGGCGCCAAATTTCACCTAACCGTATGAATTTGCTAGGACCCCGAAAGAGGCAAGCTCTGATTGGGGAAAGTAGTCGAAGAATAATCGGGGGACGGTTTTTTCGTTGTACAATATAATAGTTTTTATTTTACTGTATACTTCTAATTTGTCTGTAGCAAATATATAGATACCAAAAAATGCTATAATAATAAAGGAACCATTTCTCTCTCTCTCTCTCTCTCTTTCTCTATCTTTCTCTCTATTACATATGTATGTATGTATGTATGTATGTATGTATGTATGTATGTATGTATGTATGTATGTATGTATGTATGTATGTATGTATGTATTTTCTTCTACATATTTATATATATGTATAGATATATAGATATGTTCCAAATCCGCGCCGCACGTCGGAAGACATGCCCGACCTAATCCTGGGGCCGCGCGCCCAAAAGCACGTCGTCGGAAACCTGGGCCAGGCGCCCTCGCGTCGTGACGAGGTCGTGGTTGAAAGTCTCTTCGCCGTTCTCGGCCTCTGGGGCCCAGGGGCCGTCAGAATCTGGCTTAGGACGATGAGCTTGGCCCGCGAACGCTTCGCCCAGACCGCTTCGCCCGCAGACCGCTTCGCCCGCAGACCGCTTCGCCTGGACCGCTGCACCCGCGGGCCGCTGCGCCCCAGGACCTGTCGCACTTTTCCGCTTCGTCCCGTCTGTGTAGGCCCCGTCCGAGGGTGCGCGCTCGTCGGTTCCGCCACGCACCGTTCGGGCTCGCCCGCCCGACCCGCCCGTCATGGTCCGCTCGCTCGTTTGCTTGCAGCCCCGCCCGCACGCTTCCGTGCCACGCCCGCCCGACCCGCCCGTCAGGATCCGCGCGTCAGGGTCCGCTTGCCTTGCTCCCCCCTCTCATCGCCAGGAGGCCCACGGGACGCCGAGCGAGTGGAACGAGCTCGCGAGGCGGCGCGGGCCTGGAGGACGGAGGAGGAAGTCCAGGCTTCCCCAACGGTGTGCGAGCAGATGGGGTCAGAGGCTCGCGCCACACCGCCAAAGTATCGGCGACGCGGCTCGAAGTGGGACCCAACTGTGTCCACGCCGAAGTCGCCGATACATCGCCGACGTCGCCGATGCATCGCCGATGCATCGGCGATGCACTGGCGATGCGGCGCGATCCTCCGAATTCTTCTACTCGCACCCCATTTGGGTTGCCTCCGCCAAGGGAACCGTCTCGGTTGGTTTGGGGAAGCTTCCCGATAGAGTGCCTGCGCTGATGGGAGCACTGCCCCTCTCCTGCAGGAGTGGGACACTGGACATGCGCTCGGGGGTGGGGGCAGGGACCGTGAGGGCAGGCCAGAAAGGAAGGAGGTCTGGTTCCAGACCCCCGACGTCATGATTTTTTCATGACGTCGACCCCCAGAGATCTCGCTCCCCCCCCGGACTGGTTTTTCATCCCGAGTCGTTTTTTGACGGTCCCGAAGCCCGGTAATGGCCCCCAGAAGCGGAAAATGAGGAAACACCTCCCGTCGCGATGTTTTCATGACCCGAGGGGGTCTGGGGTCGGAGCTTCCCCCCCCCCCCGAGGAGGAGCCCCTAGGGAGCCACATGCGACCCCTACCCCTACCCCCCACGATTTCCGAGGGGGAGGGTGGGAATCACCTCGCTCGGGAGCTCCCGAACGAAGTGAACCCCACCCTCCCCCTCAGAAATCGTGGGGGGTAGGGGTAGGGTTCGCATGTGGCCCCCTAGCCCCGGCCAAGCCCGGATCGCCCCGGCCCGGTCAGAGTTCCTTCCTGCGCCGGCGGACGCTCGTCGCCGCCGCGGTCGGGGCGTGGGGCCCCGGGGCCTGCCCGCGCCTCGCGCCCCCCCCCCCCACGTTGCCCCGCGTGTCGAACGTCGCCGCCGATCGCCGCCGTCGCCTCGTGCCCTGCGTTTCCGCCCCGTCCCCCCTTCCTCCTCCTCCACCTCATCGTCCCTCCCTTCCTGCCTCCCTCCCTCCCTCAGCCGCCAAGAAGGAGGCATCAGGTGGGCGTGGCAGGCTCCCAGATCCAAGGTTCGATCTGGTGGCGTCGGCGAAGACAGCACCAGGTAGAGGGGCGACTGGAACTCCATCGTCGAGGTGCTGGTGGTGAGCTCCGATGGCCCTCATGGACCTCGTACACGCCCTGAGAAGGACTTGGGAGTTAGATTCGCAGTTTGTTCAGCAGACATTGCACACGCTCAGCAACCGGAAGGGCAAGAGCTTGCAGATGGGCGACTATTCACATTTCGGTTGCAGTATGAATGGTGCAGGAAGGTTGACAGGCTCAAGGACTGCAGCTGGATGGCGGCATGTGAAGCTACCAACCTCGAGCAGTAATTTTCCAAAGGTATAGTCAAATAGTGGAGGATACTGCCCTTTAAAGCGATCGATACGGATGATTCCAAAGTGCATAGGTGGAGTAAGCTGCAAGTCATGTGCGCAAACTGATGTTCACCCAACAACAGAAATGAAGTCGCACGCGAGCACGCTGGAAACGGACCTACAGTAGAGGCAGGATACCAGAAAATATGTGCCTGGATAATCAGTCGTTTGGAGGAGGAAGACTCAGACTGCAAGGGTTCGGTGATGATCTTTCCTGTCTCCCGCCTCCGCTCCGCTGGGGCAAGCCGTGATACGACAGCTGGCGAAACCCATTATGACTACAATACGTCAGGTGTTGACAATGGGGCCCCCGGATTATGATGAATCTGTACGAGTGTTGAGATACTTTTTGGCGAGTGACGGCGAAGGCTGAGAAACCAATGGAGTTTTCGATGCAGATGACCAGCACGATTCTTCCGCGTTTTGCTGAAAGCAGATACCTCCAGGGTGTCTAGCACGTGCAAACGAAGTGTTCAGAACAAGTGGCAGCAGGAGCATGTGAAGTACCGCCACATCGCGACCGCAGGTCGAAACTCAGAGATTGCGGTGTGGACACAGTCGCTGCTTGCTGAGGCTAGCGGTCATGCGTGATGTGCAGAAACCTTCGGCAAAGTAAACCATGCTTCGTTGTGGGAGATTGGCGGTGTGCATCGTGTCCCAAGGCGTATACTGGCCATGCAAAGCAAGACGTATGCTGGCAGGAGAAGCCTCGAATTTGGTACCATCGGCTCCAGGTTTGTTCGAACGAATCAAGGAGTGATTGTTGTTGTCTCGATGCAGCCACCATGTTCCTGTTTACTTACATGGGGTGCGTACGATCAAATGTGCACCATGTGGCCTTCGATTGCCATTGCTGTGGTGGTGGACGGTGGCAGTCTGCAGGTCGCGAATACGGAGTCGAGAGCCTAGGTGATCATCGCGGCAGTAGCCCCAGCAAGGGGCACGTGATACTGACCGCGCCCAGGCCAGCGAAGCAGGTGGAGAATAGTTTGAGAAGTTTCAAATTCACGAAAAAAGAGTGGTTCGACAATTGGGCCATGATGGGAGAGTGGGAGGATTTGCAGAGGATCCTGTCCAGAAAGCCAGAGAGAAACAGTAGCTATGCATGCGGGTCGTATCATGGGGGCTTGCTCATGGCGGTGGGCAGATGGGACACTTGTACAGGAGTGGAGGCGTTGCGCCAGTGGCGTGCACTGTAAAGGTGCAGGGCATGAGCGACTGCCGGCGGCGGACGGTCAGGACCATGTTTGGGCATGCTCAGTCTGGCGCGGCACATGGCAGGCGCAGGACCATGGAGCTTCTTCAGCGGCATTGCCCCAGATCGCATCCCACGCTCATGGTTGACGGGTATCCTGTAGTGGATTGGCTGAAGGCCAAGAGGGGGGGCTGGCTGGGACCACGTGCGATGGCATTAGCGTTCTATGCGTGTGAATAATTGTGCAAAGAGGTGGGAGACGGTGCAGGGCTCAGCTGGATCAGTTCTCTTGGCTCGTCAGAGGTTGTGCTGAGCCGCAGAAAGTTGGTTGTCGTGGGGCAGCGAGAAGGGATCGAGGATCGATCTGAGTGGCATGGGGCCTGGCACGTCGAGGAAGCGGGTGGGCATTTCCACGGGCAGGGGGTTGACGGAGGCTATGTCGACGAGCAGAGGTATGGGAGGGCTCACTGGCCCACGGTTGCTGGAACGCGCCAAGAATATCATCTCGAGCTTGCGAACGAGGGGGGGCTGCGCGGGCGCTGGTCTCATCTGTGCGTGGCTGGCGGGTGGTTCTTCAAGCGAGTGCGGCTGCGCAGAGTGGAGGCCGCTGGCTCGCGCTTGCGTGCGATAGGTGGAGTTGAAGAGGGCGCGGTCTTGCGCGGGGCCCTCAAATCCGACTTGCACAGCAACGGAAGGCGCGGTCGGAATGCGCGCGTGAGGAAGCTGCCCACGTGGGGCAGGAAGAAGCGCAGGGAGGAGCATCCGCGCACAATGGCGTCGCGCAGCAGTTCCAGGTCCGCTTCGTGACGCGCCGCCGCCTGAGTCGTGGTATGTCGTGCGCTTGCGTCGCTGCGCGGTTAATGGGGGTATTCAGTGGGGTTGTGTTCGTTGATGGCAGCTGCCTGTATCAGCGCAGCGAGGTGCGGGCGCGTGATGGCTGGGCCTTCTGCGCGGTCGATGCAGTGGGCAACGTGACTGCGGCAACATCAGGCCGCGCCCCCTTCCCTGGCAGACGTCTGGAGCAGCTGAGATGCGCGCGGCTACCCGAGCCGTCCCGCGCAAGTCCCAGAGCGAGACGGCGTTGGCCACGGGTTGGCAAGCCAGTCGACCCGACGGCGCGGACTCGGCCCGGCAGTGCGTCGTGCTCTTGGCCTGCCTCTGGAAAGGGCTGGACGACGCCAGCGATAACTAAGTGCAGATCGCGCGGGCACCTTCACATCTCTCCCAGACGAAGGCCAAGACGAGCGGCATCCCCATTGCCTATTGGCACGGCGATAAGGAGGTCGACTTCTTCTTCGCCGAGTCAGGTGCGGCCATGCACCAATCTATTCGTAGGTTTCGGGGTGGGTGGGTCGGTGCGAAGGTGGCCGTGCTCGGCGGTGCGATCTGGTGGGGCTAGTGTGTGAGGGGCACCTGGGGGGGGGGGGGGGGTCAAGCCGCCGCGCGCGGCTCGCGCTGTCTTTGGAAGACGTGACCCAAGGTTTGGTGTGTAGGATGCACATCTTGCTGCGTTTGATGGCCAGCCCTGGTGCGGGTAGACCCCCCTGGGCTTTCCGAGGTACTTCAAGATGAAGAGCCTGTTCCAGGGGAAGGACCCTTCTGGCGAGAAGGTCGGCAACAGTTTTGGCGAGCCCGTCCCCGTCCGCGCGCGCAGCTAACGTCGGGGCTCGCGTTAATGAGTTTCAGTTCTAGGCTTGGTGCCTTGCTTTCGGAGCCCGTCGTCGTCATCATTCGCCTCATTCGCGCCCCCTTCCTCCTCCATTACCTTATTTGATGGCTCGAGCACTTCCTCCACATCGTCGCCGCCCCATCGTCGCGTTTTCGCCCCCCCCCCCCCCCCCCTCCCTCCTCCGCCTCGTCCCTCCCTCCCCCCCCCCTCCCTCCCCCCTCTCGTGCCGTTCCTCGGGCGGGGCCAGGGCCAGCGTGAGTCGTCCTCGAGCGTCCCAGGGCGTTCCGTGCCCAAGGCGTTCGGGATCGCGGTGGGGCGGTCCGCTCCCAGGTCCGCTGGATCGAAGTTCGCGGTCTGTCCTGGCCCGATGTTGTCCCAGCCCCAGCTTCGTGTTGCCTCCCTCCGCCGTGGCCTGTTCTTGCGTTCCCCCCTCCCGTGCCCTCTTGCGCCGCCGCGACCGCTTCTGCCCTCTTTTCGCCCTCCTCCCTGGTCCTCCTCCTTCCTCCGTCCTCTTTGCCTCTCGTCCTACTTCCCTCCCTTTGGGTCTCTTCCCTACTCCTTCCCACCTCAAGCATACTGGCTCGAGAGTCCCATTTTGGCGATCCTTGAGTCCAGGCCCTCGCCTTCACGGGGCGCTTGGGGGGCACCGAGGCAGCGGCTCACCTCGGGAGCCGCCTTTCTCGGTGGCGAAGAGG